CTGTCTTCCACTTAGTGCTTGCTTGAGCAAAGACTGCAGCAAGTGGCCCAGTGCTGTTTGGATCCCAACACCAAATGCGGCGAGGCTGTCCCTGTAATTGCAGCAGGATTGTCACTCTGAAGTCACTTTGTTAACATAGGAGGATTAGCTCATCAGCAGGTGGTATCACTGGTAATGGAGTCTGAAATGCCTAGCTGATGTGCTATAGAAAGAGTTACAAGAGCCTATGACAGAAATTAGTCCTCATTCCCAGCAGTAGGAGCAGGAATAAACAAGTGAATTGCCTTGCAGGAGCTATAAGTGGGCAGAGCAATACTACAGCCACAGATTGCACTGCACAACCAGGTAACAGGTACAGAGCACACACAGCCTGCTGTGCATCCCAACAGCACAACAATAGCAGTGCTCAGTGGATGTGAATTGGAAGAACAGGCAATGAAAATAACCCACTACACCCCAGCTGATGGGGGGTTCTGCATCTGAAAATATTATCACATGTGCCTGAATGAAGCCTACCTAGACACATCCTTCTAATAAGTAGATAAACCATTATGCACCTCTCTCAGAAAGCCACTCTCTCAGTCCCTTTCATACATTATAAAGATACTTATCAGCATCACTCAGAAAAGAGACATTGGTTTAAATTTAGCATCCTGAAATCCTACTCAAAGAAACATCCATTTATCAGCTACTTAATGGCAGCTTCTTTTCTAATCTGACATTTGGTTTCATATTGTCTAGCTCAATTCTTGGTTTCATTAAGCAGCCCTGTGTAAGTTAGGATTTTTGGCCCATAATGTTCTAAGCTGTATTCAGGCCACCAGTGAACATCAGTGTTTAAGCTCTGTGCCAGCTCTGATGGCTGTTGTGTACTGGTCAGCCTGCTGGGTACAGCCTGCTGGGTATGTGGCAAATGCCCACTTTGGTGCTAGGCCAAGTCTGGCCTGGACCTGAATGTTTAAAGCTTCAACACTCATAATAAAGCAATATAGCAGCATATCAATTACTGGGAAATTAGCTGCAGAATTGCTGCTGGATGCAAATGGACATAGCATTGCCATTTATTTTCCTACCGAGAAAGACTTAATTTTGTTTTTGAAAGTGACCAAGATATTGGCATAGCGCTTTGTGTTTTTCAAATTGTCTCTATTTGAAAAATGAACTATCCCTCAAGGTAAATTAAATGAACCTTTTTCTTTGTTCTTTCAATCCTTCTGCTGGAAGCCTGGTGCTGTTCAGCTGGAACTGCGTGTAAGCCAGAGATAGACAGGTTGCTCCTTTGAGCATTGATTTCCCAAGAAGCATATAGACAAAAAAAACCCTAGCAGGAATAAAACAATACAATTCAGCCTATCTGCATTGTCAGAAGAAATGCCAGAATTTACTGTGCACATGAAGGAACATGACTTGGTCAGACCATGTGAGGATGCACTCAGTGTCACAATTTCAGGAAAAAGAAAAGAGAAGGGGATAAGTGAACTTGCAGAAAGGATACTAGCAGGGAGACCCAAACCCTAGAGATCACCCCCACATCTGGTATCATGCCCTTAGAAAGTTTCTACCTCCATTTAGACCCACTCATCCTGCTTGCAGCACCAATGTCATTGAACATTGTAGTGTTTCTGAGTATCTTGTTCCTATTAGACTTCTATGAAAATACTATGGAGTGTTTCTCCAACACAAACCCTTCCTCCTGGCTTTATCTGTCTCAGTGAGAAAGAGTGCAAAGCACACATGGTACATGCAGCTTCCTCCCAGCCCAGAACCAGAACTGCTCACTGGACTCACCTTCACACACCTTGAACAGAAGAGCTGCTGCCATCACTTCTGCTCTGGAGACACTCACCTTGTCCTCCATGAGGTTTTATATTCTGTCTCTTTGGTAATGTTTTCTACCTACAAATGCATTTTCTGCTTGTTCCCATTGGCATCTTGTTTATCTATGAGTGTGAACACACGTCTGTGCAAGCATTTGTGCTTTTTCCATATATTTATATATGTGACTGTATGTTTGTATTTCACTTGTAATTGTTTCCTTCTGGCTGCACCGAAAAGCTGTAAATATTCCAATTTCTTCTGACACATACAAGCAGTTATGATTACAACCGTGCAAGCTTGGTGATAACAGCTGACACATCCACTTCTGATCACAACTTCTGTGGGCAGCCTGCCTCTCAGTCTGTATTTGGTAAGGAAAAATTAGAGTTCTTCACAAAAGATAAAACTGTGTCAGCTTGCACTCTCATGCTGAGCTCTGAGACAGGTGAGCTTAAGGCTAGGACTGAAGTTGCACAGTGTTAAGCTGAATGTTACAAACACATTTTTAGGTGTATTAGGATCAGGGAGTTTTATGAATCTTGAAATAAGTTCCAGAATACTACCTATGTAGTAGAATGATATAATTAAAGTGAAGGCACATTGAAGAGGCATAAAAAGTATTTACTTACATCAAAAAGATTTCTTGTGTAATCATCCTCTATCTCCATATAAACAGATACTTGTAGCACATAATCCTGAAATGGTGCAAATCTGAGAAGCATCAAAGACCTCAGACTGTTTTGAAGTCCAGCTGTATTAATATTACAGTTACCAAAAGCAACATTGTGATTAGAGACAGGTCATTTGTGTACTATATATGAACGTACTACAGTGTACATGAATCCAACCCCTTTTGTTTTTAAAAAAAAAAAAAGCTAAAAAAAAAAAAAAAAAAGGCAAAAAAAAAAAGGAGAACTCAGAAGCTGATATTGGAAATTTGACACCTGAACTGGACTGAGAGGAGGTACTGTGACAGTGAAACTCCAGTGCTGAAGGAATGGATGGTTAGATTAAAAGAACAGATAATACAGACAACGGAGATTTCAAAGCCAAGGATTTCTCTAACATTAAAAGGATTTCCCCTTGCACAGACAGTTGCACTGCCAGGACTGCAGAAGGGAGGCTGTTCCCCACCTACTCTTGCATTTCAACAGTGCTTAATTTAGCTTCACTTCAGCCACTGGACCTGAAACTGTCTCAGGCACTTGAGAGGTTCTGTAAGATAAAACAGATTTTCTTATCTCTTTGCTTTAGTGTTCATTGTGTAAAATCAGGAAAATACCTGATTGAAATCATCCTTTGCTGGCAGAGAATAATCACATTTTGTGAAGTTCCCTGCACTTACTGCCCAACACAACATCAAAATGCATGACAGTGAGGTGGCTCCTCCACCAGCAATGAAATGCACACCTTGGCTGCAGGTGTCAAGGGCCTGAGGTCAGGATAAAGCACTCCAGAGGGGCCCAATTATTATAGAAAGATGTTGGACAGCTAGTTCAGGGCTGTTCCAACAGGAGGGCTGAGATGCCAGTAGGTCTGTCTCATCCCGACGTGTTTGTCTTGTGGCATCTGAAAGCATATATTGAAGCAACAGAAATCTCTGCCCATGTGCAGAGACGTGGATACAGGAGCCAGCAAGGAATGGTCCAGCCAGGAGCAGCAAATGAACAGAGCCAGCAAGGTGTCATGAGCTGGTTTTGCCCACAGAGCTCCTATATTTTAAAATCACTTGCCCTCAAAGCTTATGGGGAAATGGAGCCCCAGTTTCCAGAACTGTTTGCTGGGGTCAAACTCCTGGGTTTAGTTCCAGCAGACACATCACAAGTCTGTCCTTCCTGCAGGACCTCAAGTCATGCCAAAAGCTTCCCTGTGACATGCACCAAACCTTCTGGATGAGCAACAGCCTGTCCAGGCCCAGACAGAGCCATTATGATTTATTGGGTCAATACGGCATGGGAGTTCTTTGTGCTCCTGTCCCAATCCACAGCCACTAATTGCACTCCAGTTCCAGGGGCCCTGCAGACTGAATGCAATTCCAGGGAACTATTAGAGCTCTTTCTTGGAAGGGACCATTAAAACTGCAGAGCGAGCATGCAGGTGCCACTTGTACAAACTGTGTCACAAACAGTGCAGAGGGACTTGCAGCCTCTGTAGCAAAAACAGTATGTGAGGAAGCACACAGTGAACAGCTCTTCTGAAATCTTTCCAGACCTGCTGGTTTCTGTGCAGTGCTTGAGTTAGGGCTTAAAAGTAACAGAGTACGTGGAAAAGTCCCACTGCAACACTTTTTGGTAAAATGAGTTGGTTTGAATGGAATGGAGCTGAGTAATCAACCCTGTTCTACCACTGTGCTGTTCAGAGCCATGTACTCCATCTCCACAGAATTACAACAAATAGCTACCACCCCTTTGGGATTCAATATTCAAACACAAAAAAGTCATATGAGATGAATTTTTTTTTAGCTGTATCAGAAAGCACTGGCACTGCTTAATCTTTTGCTGATTGAATTTGGTGTTTAGCTTTTAAAATGGGGACAGGCTCAAGTTCTTAAATTCCAGGAATGTAAACAGCAGGGAAGTGCTTGCAGTAGCTTTGCTGACAGCATGGGTTGGGTTTTGTTGTGATGCAGGAAGAAAAATACCCAAGTACTGGATAAAATTGTAGCTGCATCATCACAGCTTTTCAAACTTTTTGTAAGTTCATTTTTATAAATATGATAACAGGCTTATAGTATGTTTATAAACACTTGTGGCTAATTTTCACATGCTGCCTTGAGACAGATACTGGGCCACTTTTGAAGAGGTATGAAGGAGGTTAATATGGAAGAGCTACACAACAGCTGGTTGTTTCATATAAGATGCTGAAAGTGATGTTTCTTGCATAACAAATCTCCTCTAAGAAACTGAGATTGTTTTTGAGGCTCTAAATGGAAAAGGGTTAAAATCATGCAGTGTTAGCTTTGTCATGTTGGACATATTTTTTTATGCTCTCTCTGCATACCCTTACAATCCATTCTTCTCATTTTCACAGACAGCATAACCCTGAACAAGAAGTAGGCTGTAGGACCACAGTAGAGACAATATACATTATAAAAACAATTCTGTATACAGAAAAATAAAGACAAGATTAGTTTTTACTTCTGTCTTCAGTTCTTACCTGGCTGTCCTTTAATTGCTTTACAGGACATGAAGAGCCATAAAAGTTGCCACCTTTCTGAAGTTGGAGAAATGCGGAATGGGTACAACTTTGTGAAGCACAGAAGAATCTGGATTCAGCTGATGCTGTTCCCATCCCTGCTGTAGTGCTGCCATATAATGAACAGTTCAAAGGTGTCAAAATTTGTAGTATGGCAGTACATATAACTTGTAAAAAAGAGGAAAAACAGACAAAGCTGCTTCCTATCAACTGTCAGATGTGGTAGTTTTACAGACCTATTTTCTGTACAGTTTTAGCTCACAAGAACAACTTAATAATTTCTTCTGGATTTGATATCAAAACCGGGAAATCATATAAACAACCTCTCCGACTGTTTCAGAAGGAGCAAATTTCCCAGCGCTGCAGGGCTGGATACACTTCAAACAAATCATTACAGACACTGGTATTTAAAAAATCAGACACCAAGAATTTTCAGTCTTGCTCAACACCCAACAGATTCCTTTGTTTGAATCCTTAATCCCACCATTAGGCACAAATAAAATTGTGATAAAATTATGTGGGTTTGGACATTCCACCTTTTGCCTGTTTTAAATTATCTTAAATAAATCATAACTAGAGTTACTTTCTGAGAGTAACCTGACTGGATGTAGCATCTATTCCTCTGCAGGTACCACTTGCACAGGCATATTCTGTGCTACTCATTTAGAAGTTTGTCAAATATCTTTCCCTAACAATGCATTAAATATCCAAATAAAGCACCAAAACTGTCTCACTCCTCTGAGCTCTCAATATCTGAAGTTGTGCTGGCTTATTTAGGAAAAGGAAATGCTCCTTGGAGGGCAAGGGTATGGATACAGGGGATGGCATGGCTGGATGGCACCAGCCTGCAGAGGCATGGGAGGATTAAGGTATATTTTGTTATTGCTTCACCCCTAGGACATTCTCGTTGTTAGCAAGGCTAGTGGGTAACAGCTAATTGCTGATTTGGAGATATACAGATGTTTTTCCCCCTAAGGAAAGAAGGAAAGACAGGAATAGTCAGTGGCAACGGGAAGCAGAATTTACTGTGCTGAGGTTATTGCCTGAGCCCTGACTGGAACAGAAGGGAATTCCCTTGGGCAATGTCCTGCCACACTGTCTCTGTCCTGCACCCCTAGGTCAGCTTTTCACTCTGCCCCCCTCCAATATGTGTTACCAACTCAAGTAAGACACAACTCAGCAAATGGCTGTGATTGATCCACCACACTGAGGGACAAGAGGTGTCAGGAGGTGGTGGTGACACCCGGGCACAACGGTCTGAGCATCGATGGCTGGTGGCACGTGGGGCTCAGGACTGCAGAGGTGCCTCTCTAGTCTTTTAGTGAGTTCAGAGTTCAGAAGGGAGTGATCTCTCCAGCTTTCTCCCACTCACAGCACTTCGTGTGCCACAGCCCGTCACTGCTGTCACCTGCCAGGCAAAATTCATTCTCTTTCTCAAGAGCTAATCTCTTTATAGCAGCATTTACACATAAATTAATGAAAGATCAGAATATAAAGATGTTCATTTTTGATTGTTTGCCCATTTACAGGAAATTAAGTTAGAACTGTTTAGTTTTATCATCACTAGACAAAATAAGCATGACAGGATATTTTAGCCTCTGGATTATGTAGATAACACACAGAAATGTCATTTACATTTTCATTCTTTTCACAGAGCAACAAACCCATGCTTGCAAGCAAATTAATATTCGGAACTTAATTGGATTTTTATATTCTCTTTAAACAGGTAATATTGTTTTTCTTCTTTCTATTATTGTATCTGAACACTGGATTTCATTTTGAGAGTGTGCCACTGAAGGTGAGAGGCCCTCTGCTCTAAATGGTTCATTTAACACCATTAAAATCTATGTTTCTTCAACACATTTGAGGATCTAGATTGTTGAATGCCACTATTTCAGTATTGTTAAACAACAGAAAGGGTATGGAAAACTATTTTCCTGGGTGTATACATGAACATACTTCTGTGTATATGTATCTTCAAACAAACATATGTACATACATCATTTATTTGCTTGCATGTGCACAAATACACTCATACAAATGTTTATATATATATGTGCATATATATATGCATGCAAATGCAGAGAAAATGTTCCAATAATTTATCTCTGCATGCCCCTGATTTACCAACTTGACAAGCAATTTGAGGAAAAAAAACCAACAAAACATATATTTTGTTTATTTCTGAAAACCTACTATGCTATGAAAACAATTGAAATAATTAACTTTTCCCTTTTTTTTTTTAAATTTCTATTTATCATGAGCTTCACCAAGGTGGCACTGTTTGATCCTGTATTTAAACCTGATCTCTGATGGCGACCAGTAAAGTCCAGTCTCTGCAACTGCAGATTGCACAGCCCAGGTCTCCAGCTGAGGGAAGGTCTTATTAGGGCAGAATAAGAAATATCGTGGAGAGAACTTCACTAAGGTATTCACATTTTCATTGAAGAAGATACTGAGAATGGGGCTCTGGTAGGAAACAGCATTTTTAAGGGTGACCAGAGGGAAAAGTCACCTTGATGAAGTTATTCCATTCCATGTTACATGGCCACTGCTGACTCTCCATGTCAAGCAACCTGCACTTAGGAGCTCAAGACACAGTTCTGTTTTGTGGCACTGGAATGGAAGGTTTCACTCCATACAAGTAATTTGATTTCAGGAAAATATGTGAAATTAGGAAAATGTTAAATGAGGAGAAAAGTTTTTCTTGGGCAGCAGTTCTCTCTGCTCCCTGGGAGCGCTCTCAGCACAGTGGGAGGCAGGGAGGCCATTCCTGTTGTGTCCCCAGGCAACATGGTCATGCTTTATCCAAGGGTGGCAAAAGGCTTCTTGCAAATATACATATTCCCATTCATCTAATGAACACTTCGTGACCCTGAAGAATTCACTGAAGTGGAAACATGACTCGGTGCTAAACAAACAGACTCGGACTAATCCCAGCTCTTCCTTTACTCCAGTTACTTCTGGTCAGTGCATGTCAAGCATCACACCCACAGCTGAAACCCTCAGCACTGCAAATCTGTGTGGGGTGAGACAGGAGCAGGAAGGCATCACTAACTGAGGGCATAATTATAAAACTGCCAGTACCTCTGGGAAATAACTGACCGCAAATGTCAGCTCATCAGCAGGGCAGGAGCATTCTTGCTGAAGTATAAAATTCTCTACATTAAAACTCTGCACTTCACATCGTATCATTTTCAAGTGCATGGCTTAAAAACTGATCATGCCAGACATCTTCCCGTATCTTTTGTGTTTTCCCTTCGTTGGTGATGCCACTTTCAACACCTGCCACAAGCATGTAGGTGTGGAAATTAAAAATGTACTTTGCCTCCCCTGCGTTGACCTTGCTCACAGATTGTTGGCTGCACTTACATCTGAGGCAGAACCCCCACACATTCAACGCAACAAATTCCTTGCATCACTTGAAGATCTGTCCCTCACTTTATAAGTTGTGTTTATTATAGATTGCAACTTGAGTAAGGAGTTGGAAAAACTTTTCAAAAATTACCCCTTTTCACACAAACCCACACCTAAGTAATAGAGAAGTAAGCAAGGAATAAAAGTCACAGTTTGATGTTACTTGTTCTTCAGTTTTTTTGTCTGGTTAGATCTCTGCATTCTCCGAGAGTTCAGAATCAAGCATATGAGTCTGTCAAAAAGCCTTTTTCTTTTTTTTATATAATAATTAAGTGAACATATAATGGGAAAACCTGCTCCCACTGGGATATCAAGTCCAGCTTTGTAGACATCAAAGGTTTGTCTAATTCAAATTACTTTGGCATAACTGTTAAAATTTGCTCTGCCATGCTTATTCATCTCAGCTGTGTGTCATTTTTGTCTTCTGATTAGCCCAGAGATGAACCTGCCCAGCTTCACTCCCACGTGGTTTCCAGCACAGCTCTGTGTGAGGTGGAACACAACATAAACTGCTCTTCCCAGCCTCTGTGCCAGCCTCACACTCTGCTAAAACATCCAGAGAACGTGGACATGAAAGAGGCCCATAGAAACAGTCACAAAGAAAGTAATTTTTTAGTTTGAAAGCGTTTTCTAAGCATTTTTTCTACTCTCCCTTTTTCTGCTGTTGTTGTTTTTAATTAAAAAAAATTTAGTCTTTTAGTAATAGTCAAAGCTCTCTAAAGCACAACCTCCTATGAAGTTAAAAAGTAGAACACAGCTGAGAAGAGAATTTTTCATTTGTGGCTCCTCTGTCTCCTGCGAGATGATATCCAAAGACACACTTCTACCAAAAGGTTTTTTGATGTGCAGCTATTGTCTTGAGCAAATAAACCAAAGAAGGTACTGGGTTTTGGCATAAAATTCTGCCTCCTCTGTTGGATGCCAGTACTTCCCCTTCCATAAGGAAACACACATCAAAAGAGGAGGATCCATTCCTCTCCTCCTAATTGTCATCCTTTTAAAAAAACCAACAAAACACGATGCAAAAGCCCTTGCTTTTTCTATCACTCTAGTAAGAGTATTACTGCCTTCCAAATGGACAATAAATTCATACTTACCACATGCTTACCTTCAGCTCCTGCCCGGGAGAGCAACCCTGGCACTCCTGCTGCAGCTCCCACCAGCCATGTACCACACGTGAGGAAGATGGGGAGGACACTGAGATCCCCAGGGGCAGGTCTGTTCGAAATCCCCAGTGACCACAGTGCTGATCTGTGTCACGATTAAAAATCCCAATACCAGTGATGGGAAGAATTCAAAGGTCTGTTTAAATTAAACACAAACTACAGACATACTTCTCTTGTACAGTTTTTTGTTGTTGTTTTTTTTTTTTTCTTTTTTAAATAAAGACTTTCTGAGTATACCCAGTATCTGTTTTTCTGGCAGTGGTGTAGGCAGCTGAAATCAGCTCTTTTTATTCTCTGAAGTGACTGGAGTGAGCTGCAGAGTGCTCAGCATCACCAAACCCCATAATTCTATTAGAGCAAGGCATACCCATCAGCTTCTGACTATTCACTTTAGCTAATTGTATTAATAAGACTAAGTGAAATTCAAATACTTTCTGAAAGGAAGAGACATTTATCAGCAACCCTCTGTAGGGATGGAGGATGGTATTGTTTCTGTTTTCCAGCTGACAGGGAGGGCTGGCAAGGGACTTACACAAAGTCACACCAAAGTCTGTGGTTCTGGGGAGCCCCTCCCTGCCTTGCAGGGCTGGGGCAGCTCTGACCCCAGAGCACAAGGTAAACGTGGGCTCTGCAAGGAGCCAGTGGTGGGGTCAATCCTGCTCGGAGCTGTTACTGCTCGCTAAATCTGACTCCTAAAAGGATTCATGGAGATGCAGAGTTGTGCAGAAGGCAGCTTGTCAACAGCACCAGCAGAGAGAAGAATTCACTGTGAAACTGCAGAGCTAAAACACTTCAAAATGTCAAGGCAGGATGACAACCCACAGGCAGAGTTATCTCTGCAGAGTTAGGACGTTTCATGGAGAATGCATCCCACACAAGTCATCCTGGTGGTTCGACTGTAAACACACTCCTGGCTGACACGGCCCAGGCATGGCAGGGGCTGATTTTACACTGCAGGACCTGGGGCAATGCAGGTGTGAGTGGGTGAGTATCCAGGACATTATTCCTGCTCAGAAACGACGTGTGTTGTAACTCTGGACTCTGTGGCTCTCACAGGGGGTGTCTCAACCCCTGGATGCAACTGCTCTGGAATAAATTTCTGGAAAGC